TCATGTAAGCCACTCAGCTGATGTCAGCACTTTGCCACATGTTAGTTCAAAGATTTCTGGCCCAGCTGGAGATCCCGAGATCCTGAAGGTGGGGCTGGCTTTGGCCCTTCTCACGGGCACGGCTTGAAGACCAGGCCGTGAGGTGACGGTCAGGAGCATGTGGCCTGGGTTCAGACCCTGGCTGCACTCCGACCAGCTGTGCATTTAGCGTCCTCTGCCTCGGTTTCCCTATCTGTAAGAAAGGGGTGATGATGGTGACTCCTGCAGGATTTTTGTGAGGGTTCAGTGCACAACGCGCTGGGAGCACAGAGCAAACCCCTGTTATCAGTATGCCGTTTCTGTGCCAGCCCGGCCACAGGCGGCTGGGGGAGGTTCATGGAATCAATGAACGTGCAGCTGGATGCATGTGGATGTGTGGTGTGGGTGTGGGGGTCCCTTTGTGTTATAGACGCCACGTGGTCTGCGATGTCATTTCATCAGCTTTGACTCACCGGGTAGTTTTTTCTGGCAGATTCCCAGCCTAAGTAACAACCCCACACTCAGGGTAAATGTTGCCACTCTGGTGACTCAGACCTAAGAAATGGAACCACAGTCTGACCCACTTGTCTCCAGCTTTCATTATACAGAGCTCCGGGGCAGGGGCCCGCCCGGTCCTGCCATGTCTCTGTGCATGAAATGGGGGGAAGGGGGGTTCCTCTACTTTGTTTCCTAGACTTATGTTCTTTTGGTGAAATTAACTCTTCCACACTGTTCTTTCCTGCCAGCACCTTGGGAATAGGGATTCTAATGATGTCTTTATTTTTTTAAACACACGCCACAAAATGACATCAAAATGTGCGTATGTAGCAGGCATGATTTAGATGTAAAATCCCTGACTCTTGCATTGGAAAAATAATGATCTCACACTGAAAAAGAGTTTTAACCTCAATGAGCGATGGGAGCAATTGTTTCCCCTCCTGCCAGCTGGGTAACCGAGAGGGGTCCTGTTGTGTGGGCGGTGAGCGCGGCTTCCGGGAGTTTCTTTCCTATAGAGGGTCCCAGAGGGAGCTCAGGACAGGCTGGCCCTCGTGTGGGGAACCCGGAAGTGACAGTGGCTGTGTTTGAAGCGTTTGTGGATCTCCACCTCAAGTCACACCTGTGCTGGGCATGAGACAGCAAGTGCACAGGTGAGCAATAGGGGAGCTGTCCTGGCCTCCAGAAGCTTCCGGTGCACTGAGCGAATCAGACCCCTGAACCGGTGATCAGGACGGTGAAGTGCAAAGTGGGAGGTAGGGAAACACACATCACTGGCCAATCAGAGGGAACCACTGGCCAATCAGAGGGAACCACTGGCCAATCAGAGGAAGGTACCTGCTAGCGCCAATGGGGCTCTGGCCAAGTGAGATCAGCCTGCTTTGCCAGGGCCTGTGGCTTTTGGGGTCCCCCCAGGTGAGTTTGAATGGACGCGTCCCTTGGCGGATGACACTTTTCCGTGTGTGTCCTTCCTCTGGCTTCTGTGCGTATTTAGCAGGACAGGCTTTGGGGTGTTAACCTGTGGCACAGCCGTGACCCTCATACTGGCCCTGGACCAGGTGGGGTTGGTCCCATCCTGCAGATGTGTAAATGGAGGCTCTGTGAGCCCAGCTGGCACAAAGGAATGACAGTTGCCTTCTGCATCCCAGTGGAAAGCACACCCCCATTTTGGTGTAGGTCATTACTGTCGTGCACACTGATGCAAGTTGCCGTCTCAGAGCCAGGCAAGAGAGGCTTCAGCGGCTTCCACTTTTGTTTGCAGCGGGGGACCACCCAGGGTGGCCAGGGGCCTGTCGTCAAAAAGAGGTGTGTGCCCCCCACCCCGCCCCTTCCCGCCACTGGTGAGCAGCCTTGGAGCCTGTGCCTCAGTTTCCCCTTCTTCATTTCTGATACATAAAAATGTGCGCTAGCAGTGTGGTGAGCTCGTCTTTTTCGCTGTAGTTTTGTCTTGCTAATCGTTAAGGCCTTCTTCTTTAGCGGGGGAGAGGGGCAGTGGGACAGCTGTGTGTCAAGTGGGCATCTGGGGCCCTGGCGCATGTGGGTCAGTGACTGGAGCCTATTGGGGACCGCGGACACAGTTGTGGGGAGAGCTGGCTGGCCCAGAGCCCTGCGTAGTGGGGAGCAGCGAGACGGAAGGGTGCTGGAAAGATGGCTGCCGCACTGCCCTGCGCCCCAGGTTCAGTATGATTTGGGGGTCTGGAGCAATGTTTGCGAGGGGCCTTTTGGGGATATGTACTCTTGCATCATGGTCTTGGCGGGAAGTGAATTTACTGCGGTCCCTCTTTACGGTTAGTGTTTTTTCTTTTGCTTTTTCCTTTTCTTTTTTATTTGGGGAAGCATCTGAGATGCTGAGGGCAGCTGCAGCTTTCTTTTCTGTGCTGTTTCTGGGTGCTCCTCCTGGGGCAGGAGGCCAAAGACACAGCCTCCGGAGTCGGTGTTCCGTGTAAACGCGGCTCTTCCTTTTTTTCTGAGCAGAGAGGGTTGCAGTGTCCCGGTTGGTTTTATGCAAAGAAGGAGAAAGGGACACTGCATGTTCTCAGACCTTTTAGACTAGAAGATGTTCACGTCGAGAAGGTGGAGAAGGCGAAGGGCACTTTCTTGAATGGAAGTGTAGGAAACAGGAATTCCTACATGTAATTACTTTCCAGGGAATTATCACTGTTATTTAGGTTCATAGTTTAAATAATGGCCGTTCACCTAAGAAAGTACTGCCTGGGCAATGGCTGTGGTTCAGTTGTACCCTGGGAACCTATGCACTCAGCATCCTTGTGCACTCTGGTGGTGCCGGCATTCAGGAAGGGGCTGGTGCAGTGCGGGTGGGCGGAGCGGTGGGCGGCCCTGCTGAGTGATGGCAGCGATACTCCAGGGGAGGACTTGTAGTCTGCTGAGAGTGGAAGGCTTCTGGGAGGGAGGCCAGTGTCTTCTCAGGACCATCCTCTCTTACCTGAAACAGGTAGACTGCAGGTTTCAGCATAAATGGTGGTGGCCAGGAAGGAAGAGAGGTGGTTCCACCTTCAAGAAGCAGTGATGCTGTGGTTTGCCTCTCCTGCCTGGGGGGTGAGCTTTTCTCCAGAGGGAAGGCTCTGTTATTCTGCCAGGGGTTCTGGGAGGTGCAGAGAGGGAGCTTCAAGATGAGGCCTTCGCTGGAGCAGTGCCAGCCAGGCCTGAGTTGCACCGGCCCCCCCACAATCAGCTGGTCCTCACACAGCCTGCAGCATTGGCCCCTCCGTGTGGACAGGCTCCCGCCTCCCTTTCCTGGGGCAGGGCCTGGCCGATTACAAACAGCTGCCTGGCCTGAGAGCAGGATTTACAAACACTGGGGAAGGCCCTTTGCCAGGGGGTGGGGGTTTTTCTGCAGCCTGGAGAGCTGAAAAAGTGGGGGCAGGCCGTCATCTTGACTGTCCTGCAGGCTCTTGGGCCCAGTCACCACTGTGCAGTCAGGTGGAGATCACCTGGGTGAAGGTCGGGATCTGGCCCTGGGGGGCGCGGGGCGGCTGGGCTCCGGACTGGCCCTGGGGTCCCGGCACTCTCCACTCTCCAAGGCCTCAGCTGAGTCTAACAACTGAAATGTAAACTAAAGTAGAAAGAACATAGGACAGGAGGGGCACAGTTGGCTTGAGAATTTTCTCTGAAGGTAAAGAATATCTCTGGGGCTTCCCCTCCCTCTCTCCCTCTCTCCCTCTCTCCCTCCCTCCCTCCTTCTTTCCTTCCTTCCTTCCCTTGCTTTCACATATGGTCTTATCCTGATGACATCTTTCCAAGGTAAGAGGTGTCATTGCCTTTTATAGGCAAGAAAACCCAGGCCCACAGAAACCCCACAGCCAGTAAGTGGTGGAGAGGGAGCCTTGAAAATAGCATTTGAGTTACGGGGATTTGGTGTGTGCAGCCTCTTGGGAACATGCTTAGAGTCTGAGTGAGGAGGGGTCTCGGCCCCATCTGAGGCTCAGTCCCTTTTTCTGTGGGGTCTTCATCTCAGCAGCAGGGGGCTGAGCGGGGAGGAGGGTGGTGAGACCTGGGGACCTCCACGGGTGACTTCCCTGCCCGCATCTGTCTCCTTGGGCCCCAGTCGATGGTGGGTGCTGGGGCCTCATCACAGGAGGAAGCAGTGCTTTTGGGCCCTGTCATTCGGTACCCACTTTCCAAAGCCACCCCGAGTCCTAGGCCCCCCAGAGTGCCCCTCATACTTCGCAGATGAGATCTGCGGGATTAGAGCTTGAGCTCTGTGTTCAGCTGTGAGCAGAGTGTTTGTGTAAGGGGTGAGCTGCCCTCGCCTGAGTCATTTTTTCCATTTTAGTGGGAAGGAAAGAGTGATAGGAGAGGGATTATAGCCAGGTAGGTCTTGCCTGTTTAATATCAGTCGACACACGATGAAGGAGGCATGTGCGGATCTGTGCCAACACGCCAAATGTTGTAAAGATACGGGTGGGGAACGCGTCGGGCAGCTCCCCCTCTGAGGGCAGGGTGGGGGTCGCACCGTCCGTCAGATGCCCCAGGAGTCAAGCTGGCACAACCTCTTTTGGGTCAGGGGAGCTGGACCAGGATGTGGTCCACATCTTTAAACCATCAGCATTTCAGAAAAGCAAAATAAAAAGCCCTGCGAGAAGCCGTGCCCCGAGGTCTGATCTCTGAGCCCACCCTGTATCTCATTAGCCTGTGATGTGTCCGAAAAGCCAGTGCCAGCCTGCAGCCTTGCCAGGGACCAGGCTGAAAGGGTTCTGCTCTTGGTTTTTCCTTAAAAAGGATCTCGTGTCCTGGAAAATCGTCACATCCTTCAGAACTGTGCTGCTTGGGTAGCCCACGTCCCCAACTGCACGGCCCATACGGATTCTACCGGGAAAAGTCCGGGGATTTCAACTTACTTGAGTTCATCCTGCATTTGTGATCCTAGGCATTTCTAGGTGTAGGTCAGGTCGGGAAGCAGAAGTCACAGCAACCAGTGGTGAATTGTTCGCTGTGATGACATTGACGCCTAAATGTCAAGACCAAGTATGGGCGTGGCTCACCTAGAGGCCAAGACCGGTATTGCACCCCAGCTCTACTGGACATCGAGAAATCTGGGTATGGCCTGGGTCCCTGGTGCTACAGCACTCTCGTGGTGCGACCTCAGAAATATCACCTTTCTTCTGTGCCTCAGTTTCTTCATGTGTAAAATGTTGCTGATAATGCCTACCTCATGGGTTTGTGGCGAGAGTGTAAGGAGGCATTTTAGACCTCCGTGATAACGGGGGTCTCGCTGGATTTCTGTTGTATGTCACAGTGCCTGCAGCACAGGAGGGCTAGGCTAACAGCTGTGCGGCTGAGCTGAAGGTGCTCTGTAAACTCTAAGGATGTTGGCTGACACGATTTGAGCTGGCTCCCTGAAGCAGGATGGGCAGGTGTGGGGAGGCCTGGGATATTCTGGGGGAGGATGGAGGGCACCTCACTGCCTGGCAGAGGCACGTAGTCTGGACTTGATGTCCTTGGAGAGGCTAGGGGAGACAGGAAGCTGAGGCTTTGCCCAGGGTCATCCTGGCGTTTGGTCAGGGTGCTTGGTCCAGGGCACGTGTCCAGCAGTATTTGCTGGATTGGAGTGGCTCAGGGCTCCACTGGATTGTTGCACACTGACTTGGCAGTGTGCCACCAGCCTTCACAGAACAGTCTGAACCACCCCCGATTTCTCAAGGGATCCCCAGGAAAGTGACCAGTTTGTGGCAGGGTGTGTGTGTGACATGTGTGCCTCAGCAGGCGTGAAGCCCCGTCTGCTGTCGGGCATCTCCGGGCCCATGGGCACACAGCTGGCTGATGTGCTGAAGGCCTCCTGTGTGCCAGTTGCTTTATACTCACGACTCCCTACTCCATCCAGCAGCCCTGTGAGGTCAGGGAGGGCTTGTCCAGGCGACTCAGCGAACAAGGAAGCAGACCTGAGATTTGAACGTGGCTCCCTGTGACTCTGGACCCCGTCTTTGTGACACCCCTGGCCACCTCCCTCTGCCAACCCCCCAGCCGCCTTCATCTTCTTGATAATTTTCCCAGCAGTCATTCTGCTCCTTAACTGTAATCTCTCCAGATGAATCCTTCCAGGCCCTTTTGCCTCAGGCTCCTTTAATTCCGGGATTAATCATCTTACCCTATAAATATCTCTCAGAAACTCTTTCAGCCATGTTTTGGAATTCCTTGAGTACTGTCAGCTGTGCCTGCCCTTCTTCAAGCCCCTTCTTCACGCCAACCCCCCCCCCGCCCTGAACTGCTCTGTTCTCCAGGACTCCCAGGGGGTGACGGGTCACTCACGTTGCCTCCAGGATGCCACCTCCTGCTCTCCCACGCTGCACACGGAGGCCAGGAGCATGAGCGCTGCAGCTCGAAGCCGCCCTCTGTGGGGTGGCTGTTCGTGCAAAGCCGGGGGCTAACTGCTCTGCGTCTGCCTCCTGGTTTCCATGATCTAGCCCCGCGGACCCTGTGCTGGACTGTGGTCCCCAGTTAAGAGCGCTGGGCTCCAGGCATGTGCCTTTCTCCATAAACCTTGATGCCTGGTCAATATCTTGGCAAAAGTAAATAAATAAATAAATAAATAAATAAATAAATAAATAAATAAAAGGAAGAAAAGAAAGAGAGAAAGAAGCCCTCTGAATCGGGGTAGCCTGGTCTGTGTCCGGTCGCTTACTAAAACATTCCTGGTCTGATTTCTCGGTAGTAAAGCAGCTGCACCCAAGCCTGGCGCTCACACCTGTGCTGTCCTGAGCAGCACCCACCGCTGGGGTGTGTCAGGCTTCACGCTGAGCACGTTTTTGTCTGACGACTCACTGCTGTCTCTCCTTCTTGCTGTCCAGATCCTTCCTTTCCAGTTCGACTTCCCAGCGCCCTGGGAAGCTCCAAGCTGGTGTTTCCAGGCCGGCCGATGCCAGCTGGGCCGGCCCAGCTCTCTCAGAACCCTTTCTGATACTGGCCAGGTGCACAGCGCTTTCTGCCCAAGCCTGTCAAACCTCCCCATGGGGACATCCACATTCCTCTGGCAGTGGGACGGGGCAGAAGTGAGGGTGATGCGGGAGACAGCCTGGGATGGCCATGTCACCGCGGCCCTCGCCCGCATCGCTCCTCTGTCTGGTTCCTCGCCTCGGCTTTCACAGCTCACAAAGGAAGGGTGAGACAGCGAGGGCTGCCAGCTTGGATGGGAAGGAGATAAGGCTCGTGAAATGCTCTGGCCGGGGAACGGGGCCCTGGGTCTGTTGTGAATCGTGACTTCGCTGGGCCACGGATTCAGCGTCCAAGTCTGCAGCTCTGAACTCGGGATGGGAGAAGCTCACAGACCGAGCCTCACACCTGTGCGCACACCTGCCGTGGGCCCTGCACCCTGTGAAGCTCCTCGCTGGGAATGTACTGGAAATACTGCCTCTGGGTTAAGTCGGCAGACACTTCCAGGTGGATGGCACGGTGCCCGGCATTGCCAAAGTAGGAGAGACCGCCTCCCTAAAGCACAGGTCAGCATTTACTGAGCACCTACTGCCCACTCCCCCAACCGCCACCCCATGCCAGGTGAACTGGATGCAGTGGTGCTCCAATGGCTGGCGGCCTTTTCCCAGGGAGAAGGGGGTGTTCCCGCCCAGCCCGGGCTGACCCCGAGGCCTTAGAAACCTGGGCTCCCGTCCTGGAGTCAGTACACGGTGGCTCCTGGCTTTTCCTAGTCCATGCAAGTCCCCCCTCCTCCACGCTGCCCCGTTCTCATCACAACCCCCTGAGGGAGGCAGAGTAGTGCCCATTGAGTGCCAGGGACCCTGGGGTCAGAGGTCAGCTGGAGACGTGCTGATGGTCTGGACTGAGCCAGGACCAGGCTGGCCCCTGACCCTCCTGGCTCCGCACCCCTCTCCATGTCCCCCTGAGCCCTGCAGGTCACAGTGGCTCAGAGGGTGTGTTGGGGCCAGTCTGCTGGGCCCACAGGGCTTCGCGGTGGTTTGCTGGCAGTTGGGGTTGGGGGGTGAGCTTGTGCTGCCCAGGGGGTTCGAGAGAGCAGGGCGCAGAAGCTCGGAGGAGAGACGCTCTGCCAGGATGTGTGAGCAGCTCCCGGCAGGGCTGGGCCGGGAGGACTGTGCAGAGATGCTGGCTGTGCCCCGTCCAGGAGGCCACGGCCGCCCTCGGAGAGAGGGGCAACCTCCTCCTTGAGTGTCTTCTTCCTGCTCCTATTTCTTCATGAAGTATTTGTGTTTTTTTAATGAAAAAGGGTACATTTCACTATAGCCACTTTGGAAAATACAAAACTTATAAAGAAGAAAATAATCCCCAAACTCAAACTCTACTGGGTCTGAGTATAAAGAATAAAGAATGGAGGGAAATGCATCCTGGTGTGATCTGGAACACCAGGGCGCAGTCCCACCCAGCCAGGGGCCTCCTCCCCACCCAGCCAGGGGCTTTGCGCCCCCCACCCCCCGAAGGTCATGGCCTCGGAGTGGGACACAGTCAGCTTTGGACTTTCTAGCCTCACATTACAAGGAAGGCGTGTCCTCGTTCACGACTGCTGTAAAAGCCTGATACGCTTGGAGTCGCGTATTGTTGGCCATCAGGCCACGACGTCCCAGTTTCCGATACTGTCAGTGGTCGTGCGCTGATGAAACAGGCTGTGTGGGGGTTTACCTGAGCTGCTACCACCGTGGGCGGGCGCGAGCACTTCCCCTCTTGGGCTGCACTTGGGCGAAGAGAATGTCCTGGGGGCTGGGTGAGCAGCAGAACCCCCCTCGATGTGGGACATGAAGGGGTGCAGAGTGGATGTCCCCTGACTTTCAAGGCCCCCGCAGCAGTTTAGGGTGTGACGAAGGCGGCTTTTCACGTTGGCTGGGAAAGAAAGGGTTTGCTCTGGAGATGGGCTGGAGAAGCCCTCTGGGGAAAAGCCGTTGGACCCTGCCTCACTCATGCTTGTACCAGAATGCATTCCAGATGATGAAAGATGGGAACTTGGGAAAGGAAGCCGTGGAACTGTTAGAAGAAAACATGAGAGGCTGGGTTTTATAGTCTCGGGATGGGAAGGCCATTCTCAGTATGACATAAACCCCAGAAGTTAGAAAAGAAAAAAATTTGACTCCATAAAAGTTAAGGTTTTCTGTCTGGCCAAAACAAAACCAAAAAAGAACCAATCACCATAAAAAAGAATATGAAAGTACCGCTGGCCCTTGAACAACATGGTTTGAACTGCATGGGTGTTTTTGATAAATACTGTAAATGTATTTTCTCTTCCCTATGATTTTCTAAAGAACGTTCTTTTCTCTAACTGACTTTATTATAAGAATACAACATATAATACATATAATTTACAAAATATGTGTTCTGTTTATGTTATTGGTAAGGCTTCTAGTCAACAGAAGGCAGTTAATAGTTGCGTTTTTGGGGAGTCAAAATTTATACAGACTTTTAACTGTGTGGGGGGTCTGCAGCCCTCACCCCCGTGTTGTTCAAGGGTCAACTGCATGTCACAGAAAAGGGATTGATATGCTATCATATTCAAAAAACTACAAATCAGTAAGAAAAGCCCAGGAACCAAAGCGAGAAAAATGGACGAAAGACATGACTACGTCTTAGAAAAGGAAATACAAATAGCCTTTAAATGTGTGAGAAGATGCTAAACCTTACTGACAAGTGGGGAGGCAGGTGAAACCCTAGGGAGACACCACCTGTCTGTCACCTGGCCAGGTGGACAGAGAGCAAACGCTGAGGACATGCTCTGTGGGCCGAGGGAGGGGACGGCGTTCTCACAGACTGCCCTTCTTCGAAAGGTATACCTGGGATCTACCCAAATATTAAAACGCACACCCTCTGACCCTGTTTCCTATGGATGCACATGTGTGCAGACACCCGTGGACAAGTCAGCACGGTCTGGGGAGAGCAAAGGAGTTAAACAACCAAACGCCATCATGAGATCCATTTAGATAAGTGACTGTGCAGCTCAGAGTAGAATACAACGCAGCTAAAAGAGCGGGCTTTATCGGGCGTTACGCTTCCTGAACAGATCCATCTTTGAGATGTGTTAAGAAAAGCAGGGTAAATCACGTTCCTCAGAGTATGCATGCACCCATCTCTGTTCAAAGAAGAGACACAAT